TCTGATATACCATTATTCTGGTCCAAAAACCTTCACCTAACTAACAAGCACTATTCTACACAAAGGGGATAAAAATGACTATCTAACAATAATAATAAAAGAAAAATATATGCGCATTGAGAGTCTATGAAGATCAAACCAGCAGTTTTATGGACAAAATGTCTAATTTGGGTTAACTTGGAAAGAGAAGTCCTCCTGGTGTGCTAATGTCTCGATTGCAGTGATCAGCTGGTTGATGGTGGGGCTGTGCCCTTTTGCCACTAGCAGCTGATTGCCCCAAATCTCGAACAAAGAGTCATAAAACTCTGAGGCGGGAACTCAGTGGAAAAACTCCAGTAATAAAACTGGAACAAAGGAATGGTCAGGCCACGAGGCCCAGACCGCAGTTGCTTTGAATGAAAAAGCAAGTCCAACTTCTAACTCCTGGCTGACTTGGGATCAGCCGGACAAAACATGAACACGCACGATCCAGCAGCACTTGCACAGCAAATCAGAACACAGCTCAGCATAAAACACTTCAATCAATATTGCATGCAACAAGTTGATACCTTGGATTAACTACTGGTGATTCTAAATCACCTTAACTATGCCTCATCCTGCCCAGACCTCTAAATGCACCTATCCGATTTAATATAAAAGAACAAAATTACTTTGATGTTGATTTCTTCTCTTCAACGGTTGAGGATGTGTCAGGTCTGAAGAAAAACAGGGGGGTGATCACTCGTCCATGATCACCTCAAGAAACAAAACGGTAAACTTCTAATCCGTCCATAAGGGCAAAATATGAAGAACCGTTTAGTCAACTGAATCGCAAAGGGAAACTCATCTCCTTGGAAATAAAACCTCTGTGGGTTTTTCACCTGCGCCGGGTGTCGGTGTGGTCTTTGATTGGCATATGAATCTTCTGACCTTCTTGTATCAGGCAGATTCTAGCTTTCAAGGTCTTCTGGCCTTGTGGAGCAAAAGTTTGCCTGCGAGCTTTTGTCTCTCTAGATATGCGCCTCTGTTGCATTGTCCGGTGAGACATGCTGGAAATGGCAACGAAAGTTTGTTTTCTGCGGGTTTTATAATCCCGGGTGACGTCAGAGCTGCGTCGTCTGTTGAGCTGCGCATGTTCAACTGTGAGACCAAAATAGATGACTCCAACAAAAGACCGCGAATAATCTCACTCTTCGAAACTAGGGCGGATGTTGGGGCGCCCTCCATTTTGTGAGCCAAATGGACAACAATGCAACTCACAGGAGGTGAGCTTTATAAGGGCTCGCGATACACTCCAATTTTGCCTTTTCCAGTCGAAGTGGACCGCTACGCTCGCTTGCAGGCGGGGTTTTTAATTCCATTCTCCATCATTGGCCAACCTCATGAGAAGCTACACAAAGCTAGAAATCTTGCTGGGATAAGAACACCAGGAGATTTACTTTACCATTTGAGGCACATCTGTGAAAGTGCAAATCAATAAAAAACTCACTGAGGTTTTCCAAAGGAGACAAATTTTTCCTCTTTTGTTTTATTCCAGTCAACTGTGCACGCTCCATAATTTTTTTCCTCCTACCAAAATTGGAGAAGTTGACCGTTCCTGTGTTTTTCATGATGTGTGACAAACGAAGCCCTGCTCTCTACTTGCTGCTCCAGAGAAGATGAAACCAAGTGATCCCGTTCCTTTTTGTTGGTACTATAGAAATTGCTTGGGCCAGATGAAGTAGGACAGTTAGGGTGATTTAGAATCACCATTCATTTAACTTAATGTGTTTAAGTTGTATGTTGCACTGTATCTGCTCATCTTTCCAAGTTAATCCAAATTGTTGTGTTATTATCATTTGCCCATAAACTGCTGGTTTGATCTCCATCTACTATCAGCACATATCCTTAATTTTGATTATTAGTGTACCCCTTTTCTAGAACAGTGCATGCTTAATTAGGTGAACATTGTTTGACCAGAATAGTTTTATTGTAAGAGGAACTATTGGTTTAATACATTTAGATAGACAAAGAGACAACGTTTGTGTTTATTTTGTGTAAGAGTGATTATCTGTGGGCTGCACAGTGGTGCAGTTGGTAGCACTGTTGCCATGCAGCAATGTCCCGGGTTCGACTCCCGGCCGGGGAGTTTGCATGTTCTCCCTGTGCATGCGTCGGTTCTCTCTGGGTACTTCGGCTTCCTCCCACAGTCCAAAAACATGGCTGTTAGGTTAATTGGTCTCTCTACATTGGTGTGTGCATGGTTGTTTATCTTGTGTGTGTCTGTGTTACCCTGCGATGGACTGGTGACCTGTCCAGGGTGCACCCCGCCTCCTGCCCGTGGACTGCTGGAAATAGGCACCAGCTTCCCCGTGACCCACTATGGAAGAAGTGGTAGAAAATGACTGACTGATAGTGTTCCATACCATTCAGTAAAACGGTTGATAACAGTGAGATTTGGTGTGGTTCTGGTTAATAATTATTAGTTATTAATGATATTTAACTAATTGTAATTATTAAGTGCTGTGAGCCCAATAACCACACCATCAGAGTGTACCTCTGATCTTTATTCATAAGAAATGATTTTTAGTTAGAATTTATTTCTTCTAAATTATTATTTTTTATTAGAATTTTTGATAAATATTTATAATCAATAATCATAATCCTTAAAAATCTGTATATTCAGATTCTAGCTGGGAGGGAGGTTACATTGCTGTTATCTGTTCTCTGACATTGTTCAGTGGAGGTTGTTTAATATATTTGACACCTAACATTATTTCAGCAATACTTTCATTTACTAAGTTTAGTGTGTTTTTATAGGCCTCTAAGTAGAAGTCTGTTACTGTTTTATATGATTGGTTTGTTTTTCTAAAGTGATATATAAATATTAGGCATCATGTTGATTATTTTAGACTTTTGTGGCAGTGGATGATTTATTACTTTAACTAGCACAAATGTGTAAATTAATGCAGCAACTTCTTAAAAGTGACAAGTTTAGGTACATGCTTTAAAAAAACATTGTACATTACAATATTTAATATAAAAACAGATTCATCATTGCAGTTATAAGGTATGAATATGGCCTAATCTATTTTGCTTGGTAACGTGAGGAGCATTGTCTTTGCAGGAGCAATTCTAAAATAGTTTAGAGCTCCAGAGGGATCTTCCAAACTGCCTCATCAGGAAGCCTCAGGACCATCATAATCCTCAGGACCTCCTTCTAATGAAGAAGCAGAGAAAGGTCATCTTCATCTGCACATTTGCAGCTGCCTGTTTTTGTTAATGAAGTAGATCCAGCTGACTGGCCATCAGTTCTCTCTGATTTATTCACTAATACAGTAGGGAGAGGGCCCTTTGAAATTGGTTCAGATTTCAAATTCTCCAAAAGGAAGGGGGCAGAAGCTTTCATCGTCATTTCTTTTACACAACATTAGTGAATGGGGAAAAGATTAAGCGGACCTGGCTTACCTACTGAAAAAATAATGCCCTTTGCTGCTTTTGCTGTAAGCTATTTTCCAAAAAGGAGCGCAAATTATTCAAAGAGGGACTGACAGATTGGAAAAAACTTGGTGCACTATTGAAAAGTCATGAAAGCAGTCCAGAGCACACAACATACATGGCAACCAGGAAAGATTTTGAGCTGCATTCACAAACTGAAAAAACAATAGGCCAGCTGAAATTATACTATTGGAGGCTGAAAAGAGGCGCTGGAGAGATGTCTGGACTTGTTTCATTTCCATCATACACTCCCTGGCTGAGGGAAATCTTGCATTGAGAGGTTCATCAAACACATCACACCAGCAAATTAATGGACATTTTGCAAAAGAGGTGGAGCTTCTTGCTAAATTTGACCCTGTCATGAAGCTGCACATTGAACGTGTTTAGAGTGTCCAGTTAAATCATTCCAACTATTTGGAAACATTATCCAAAATTAACTTATTGCTTCAATTAGTGTGAAAATGTTGGACACAATGGTTACTGACATTAAGCAGTCCAAATATTATTCAATCGTTTTAGACTGTACTCTCGATGTAAGCCACCAAGAGCAGATGTCTGTCATCATGAGGACTGTCAAAATGGACAAAGCACCAGAACTCAAGGAAGATTTTTTTGTGATTTCTTGTGGCTTCTCAGACAACAGGTCTTGGTTTGTCATCTTTGCTTCCGAACAAACTTACAGAACTGAATATTCCCTTTGACAATTGAAGAGGACAATCATATGATAATAGTGCCAACATGAAAGGCAAGAACAAAGGAGTTCCAGCAAGACTTCTTGAGAAGAATCCTCGTGCACTTTATGTTCCATGTGGGGCACATTCCCTTAACTTGATGAAAAAAGATGCAGCAAAAGCTTCACCAGATGCCATCAGCTATGTTGGCAATGTACAGAAACTGTACAGCCTTTTTCAGTAGCCCCACAAATTTGGGCAATCCTAAGCGAACATGTGACTGTTGCACTCTAGACTTGGAGTGACACACGGTGGGAGAACCATATTAACAGCATTGAGGCTGTGCGGTACCAGGCCTCTGATATTAGGGAAGAGTTTGAGGTCAGGGAAAAAGTGAGAGACCCTCTGACCAAGGTTGAAGCCCACACCTTGGTAGAAGAGGTTGGGTAATACCGATTTCTCATTTGCACAGTGATATGGTATGACTTTCTTAGCTATGCGAACAATGTCAGCAAGATCCTGCAGACTACCAATATGCAGCTTGATGTGGTCGTTGACCTCCTTACTAAGGCAAAAACATGTCTGACTAATTACAGAGAAACTGGCTTTGCTTCAGCCCAGGCCTCTGCTAAGACAGAAAAGACTAAGGAGTACAAAAAGCACTTTTCTATGAAGCCCCAGAAGAGCCTATTGTAGATGCTATGAAGAGGCTAGAAGCAACATTCTTTAATGTTGTTGTTGACACAGCCATTGAATCCTTAAAGGATAGGTTTGATACAGTAGGTGAAGCGAGCTCCAGATTTGGAGCGCTGCTCAATTTCCAAAAAGTGGATGATCAGGGATTGTGCAACCAGTGTGGCAACCTCTGCAGCACATTAAGTACTGGAGGTGAAAGTGACATTGATGGATATCAGCTGGCTGTAGAGATCAAAATCTTGTTAAGCTTGCTTTCTGATGACATAACTTCTCTTGAGCTCCTCACTTTCATCCATAAAAAAACATTTGGAAGAACTGCATCCCAATCTGTGGGTCGCATTGTCTGCATTCTGCCTGTGACTGTCCTCAGCAGAGAGGAGCTTCTCAAAACTGAAGCTCATCAAGACCTACCAAAGGTCCATGGGACAGGATCACCTCACTGGTGTTGCAATAATCAGCATCAACCATGAGATGGGTAAGTGACTTTGTAAGTAAAAAAACCGGAGAGCAGACATGTTGAGGACAATACACTGACTGTTACTTTGAATAAACTGTTATTATTACTCTGTATAGTATAGTAGGTATTATGCTTATATGTTTGAGACTGTGTTTTTAAATGAGCATTGTTTGATGTCAATTTGTTTTAATTGTTGCCTTTCAAAATTTATGTTGGTGTGTTGTATTTTCTTATTTAAAGTAAACATTTTCATAAATGTTAAAAATCTGTCTTATTTGTTGACATATAGAGGATTATTGTTTTCCTTCTATTATACAGTAGTTTATTCATCAAGATGGGTACTTATAACTGTAGCCTGTTTTGCTTTTGAAGTGTAATAGATTGTGGCATCTTGGTAAACCAACTAAAGGTTTAGGAATCTCTTTATTGTAGATTGATAAACTAGGGGCCCCCAGACAGCATCTCGCCTAGAGCCCCCACAAAGCTAGAAACGGCGCTGTGAGCTGCCTTCGGCCCATATTCTGTGACAGGAAGGAGCAACAGAAAGCTTAGATAATCCCTCACTGTCTTTGCAGATGTCAGAGCTAACAAATGGCAGAAATTTAATTTAAGCTGTGCGCACTTTGTCCAGCAGCAGCTACTGCAGATTCGGGAACCACAAAGCACCTGGGCGCTCGGAGGCTATATAAATTACTGAAAGCTGTACCCCCTGATACAGGACCCGTGGAACCTGGGGGAAAAGGGTAAAGGAGCAACTGTGGCCACAGACTGTGAGCAAAGGCGTCCAGTCTTAACGGTGAATCCAAATGGTGAGCTCTGTGAGAACCACAGCTGACACTGTGCATTCTTCCATGTCACAAACAGATCCACGGCGACACGGAGACTGGGTATGGCTCCAGTCTCCGTGTCAGGGACCACCTCTGGACATGATGTCCGCTCCTCTGTTCAGGACCCCAAACATGTAAACTGTTCTTATGGAGAGCAGGTACATGCATCCCAGCATAGCAGCTGTCTGGCTTTTTTTTATGTTAACCTCTGAGCTGAGCATATCCTTGTTGGTTTATGTACTGTAGGCTGCTGGAACCCGGTGGATCGGAAGTGCTGATCCTGCAGCAGAGGAACAAAGTGCTGTGTCACTTTCCAAACAGTAAGGAGCTGCAGCAAATTTATGTGGAGAGAAGTGTGATCTGGCCAATTTCCTTTTACTACCTGGGCCAGACACGCCCCTCCCCTGACAGTGATGCGCCTGTGAACACTGAGATGTGTGATGCAGGCCTGCTGAGGGGAACACCTTCTGACAAAGTGTGGGGGTTTCCCCAGTGGGCCAGATTGGCTCCCACTGAAGCAGGGACAGAAATAATCCGCCTCATAGGATCTATGCGCATGTGGATGAACCATCATTGAAGGCATCTCATATGAAGGAAAACCCAGCAGAACAACTACGCCAGCTGCTGACATTCATTCCCAGTAACCGCATAACTTACAGGGCTGTCACCATGATGTGAGGCCTGACACAGTGGAGAAGCGCTGAGAGAGCCTGAGAACCCTGGAAATGGCAAGATTACAGCAGGATCGTAAATTCTGGCTGAGTCTGTATTTTCAGGAACCTCAGTCTTGCTGGTACCACTTATTTCGACAGCAGGAACCGAAGGGAAGCTCTGATCTGTGAGGGACCCCACCCTCGTGATGGGTAAGAAGATGGAGACTGGTGCCTCCAGCTGTAGGGGCTTGGCCGCTGCTCCCGATAGGTACGCCGCTACTGCTGGAAGGAGAGGACAGACCGGGTCTCATTGGCTGGGATGTGTCGAGATAAATTCCCCTGCCAGGTTATCTG